GCATCCAGTCGGCCCCAAGCGAAGCCTCAGCCCGACGGAGAGCGCTAAGCCCAAAGAAGCCCCTTGACAAGCCTTCGGGTTTAGAGTTTAGGGTTTAGGGTTTAGGGCTTAGGGTTTAGGGCTTAGGGTTTAGGGTTCAGGGTTTACGGTTTAGAGTTCAGGGCTCATTACCCTCTTACACTGCCCTGGTTCCTCTTGACTTAGTCCTAAACCCTAAGCCCTCACCACTGAGCCCTAACCTCAATGTTCCCCCTTTATACGAACTACTGGCAGTCCTTATTATGGATGATCGTACTCCCTATTATCATCCCTCTCAAGGACTGTTAGTATAAGGGGGAACATCCCAAGCCTAGACGCCAAAGCCTGAGCCAATAATCTTCTGACCCTCTGTCTGACTCCCAGACCACAAGTCTAAACCCTAAACCCCTTTAACCCCCTAAACCTCCTAAAGTCCTGAACCCCCTAACCCCCCTAACCCCCCAAACCCCCTAAACCCCCTAACCCCCTGAACCCCCCTAATCTCCCCTAAACCCCCCAAACCCCCTAGCAACCCCCCAAACCCCCTAGCAACCCCCTAAGCCCTAGAACACAATACACCCACCCCCCTGGAGCCCTAGAACACCCTCCAACCCCTAAACCCTACAACGCCCTAGAACCCCCCTATAAAGACCCCTAAAGCCCCCTAAAGCCACTTAAACCCTAGAACCCTAAACCCTACAAACACCAAAAGCCCCCCGAAACCCTAGAACCCCGCTACACCCCCCTAAAACCCTAGAACCCCCCCCCCCCCCCCCACCTAAACCTAAGCCGAAACCCTACACCTAAGCCCTAGAATCCAAACCCCAAACCCTAAACCCTAAACCCCAAACCCTAAACCCTAAACCCTGAGCCGAAAAACCCGACTTCGGCGTGCGGCCGCCTCGGCGATTTTCACCCTGTGGGCCTGACCCGACAGTGAGGGGCCAATCGGTTTAACGCGTCACAGCCGCCGGCGGGGTTTAGGGTAAAAATTAGGGTTTGGGGTTTAGGGTTCAGGGTTTAGGGTTTAGGGCTTAGGGTTTAGGGTTTAGGGTTTAGGGTTTAGGGTTTAGGGTTTAGGGGATCTCTTCGGAGAGTTGTGCCAGACTGGAGCACCCGCACGCCCTAGGCCCTGTAACCCCCCAAGCCCTAAACTTGGAACCCTAGACCTGTTCTCAGACTGCACATATTGCCTCAGGAAAGGGCTGCTCCCAAAATAGCACACGACCCTGTGCGACCCCCTAAGCCCTAAACCCTAAACCCCAAACCCTAAACCCTAAACCCTAAACCCTAAACCCTAAACCCTAAACCCTAAACCCTAAACCCTAAACCCTAAACCCTAAAACCCTAAACCCTAGGGTTACTAGTAGGGTCCAGGCATCCATGCCGGTGAGCCTTGAAGGAAGTGCTGTCCAAAGTGCATGCACGACGCTTCCAGAGCTCTCACTCTTGGGGCCCTTGAAAGCCAAAGGAAAGGGTTTCGGGTTTCGGGTTTCGGGTTTAGGGTTTAGGGTTTAGGGTTTAGGGTTTAGGGTTTAGGGTTTAGGGTTTAGGGTTTAGGGTTTAGGGTTTAGGGTTTAGGGTTTAGGGTACATTGGTAGGAGTTCTAGTGTTATAGCAGTAAATATAGGGTAGATGACCCCAAATTTAGGGTTCACTTGGTTTTCAGGTGCTTTGTTCAGTGCTCGCTGTGGGTCTCATGGCAAGTGTCGTGCAAAGACGAGCCAAAATCTGTGTCCTTAATCGTGAAGCTAAGTGCCACAGCATGGATACATAATTAATATTGTAGCATCCTCAGTCTTAAATCACAGCAACCTAATTCAGGTTTGAAATCTGTTGTCGTCTTAGTCGGCTGATATGGTCAGTCCTCCAAAGAGCGATCCCTGTGAAAGTTTCGACATGGCCTTAGAAGATACGATGTGCCCCCCTCCCCCTTTGGGTTTAGGGTTTAGGGTTTAGGATTTAGGGTTTAGGGTTTAGGAGGTGACAATTCACAAATAAAACTAAACATGCTGAGCCCGAATTTAAGCCCTCACCCGACCACTCCTTGTATGAACCTCAAGAAAGGTACCCTAGACCCTAAACCCTAAACCCTATATAAACCCTAAACCCCCTCTAACTCCGGATCCCTTTATGGACCTTTGGGAGCCCTGTCGTTCGCGATTTCCAGGGTGCGCAGCGCCGATAGAGAATGAGAGTGTTGGGAGGCGTTTTTGGGAGCTGAAGAAGTACCCTAAACCCTAAACCCTGAACCCTAAACCCTAAATCCGAAACCCTAAACCCTAAACCCTAAGTCCTTCAGCTCCCGAAAACTTCAACCCCACAAGTCCTGATAATGAGGACCCTCTAAACCCTAAACCCTACTTACCCGAATTTCGGAGACCCCTACATTCCAAACCCGTTATACACAATATGAGGTACGAATTGCTTAGGTCGACCCTATAAATGCCGCAAATCCTAAACAGAACTGAGCCCTTAGGGTTTAGGGTTTCGGGTCAGTTCGATCCCCACGTCAAACGCCACTAACGGTGCCCTCAGTAGGCAGGCCGACTGCATGCCTAGGCCTACATGGGGTGGCCATGACAAAGCACGAGGCCTTTCAAGGGTTCATGGGGCTCAGGGCTAGGGACCCTAAGCCCTAGTCCCTAAACCCTAAACCCTAAACTCTAAACCCTAAACCCTAAACCCTCTGCAACTGGTAGCCTGTCTTGTAAAATGATTCCGGCCACTCAGCTATGGCTTGCATGTGTAACTTCTATGATAGCTTACAATATGGCACCAAGGTAGGCCATTGGGACATTTTTTTATTTTTCCTTTTTGGGTTGAAGGGGATCATACTTAGGAATATGTTTCAGAGGGGTTTAAGGTGTGCCATCCTAGGCACTAAACTTCGGCGTCCAGTACCCTGGCCCAGAAGGTTTCTGAGCTGTCGGCAGGGTTTGGGGTTCACCCTCAGCCCGAAACCCTGCCTGAACCCTACCGGGCTATTCGTCCTTTAATGAAGGCTCATGAAGGGCGTTACGCCCCAAACCATAAAACAAAAAAACACCATAACCCTCGCCCCCCCCTCCCGCTTACATGAGAAATACGAAAAGCCCTAAACCCTAAACCCTAAACCCTAGCCCCTAAACCCTAAACCCTAAACCCACCTTTCTTCAGTCGCCATGTGGGCAGCTCTCTGAAACTTCTGGTTTCAGGGCTTTCGGGCTTTCAGGTTTTAAGGGTTTGGGTCGACACAGTGTTTTTGGAGGGTTTAGGCTTTAGGGTTTCGGGTGTAGGGTTTAGGGGGGGGGAGGGTCTTTAATGCATGTTTCGTGAGCTTCGGGCTTAGGGACTAGGAAGGGAACCTCTGACCCTTTTCGGCTATATAGCATCCCACTACATGTAAGAAGTTCAACCCCAAATTAAGAGCCTCCGGCTCAAGCCGCCGACCCCGCCAGAGCATAGTTGAAAGGTCTAAACCTGCTCGTCGGCTCAAAGGATGCTTTCCTCATCGCATGGTTCGAAGAGCATCGCAGCCTGCTCGGCAGAATCCCAAAAAGTTGTGAGACGTTCGCGCCTCTGTGACACGTGGGGGGGCGGGGGGTAGGGGGTAGCACCAGGGGCAATTTGTTGAACAAAGGCCAGACTCAGCACCGGGGGCAGCAGGTGTGGGTGGCCCTCTTTGATGCCTGATTACGATCCTTGAAGTGTGGGGGGGGAAAGGTAGGGGGGGGTAGGGGGGGTGGGGGGGGGTAAGGGCGGGGGGGGGGGGTTGCCCTGTGCGAAACCGCCTATGCCTGGCCCTCCACGAAAAAGCCGGGGTACCCCCCCCCCCCCCCCCCCCCCCCCCTCCCCCCCCCGCCCTTTGGGGGGTAAGGAGGGGAAAAGGGAACACGCCGCCAGGGTCGGCGGACCCTAAACCTAAACCCTAAACCCCAAACCCTAAAGCCTAAACCCTAAAACCTTTTTTGGGGCTAGGGTGTTCAGCCCCTGAGAGGGTAACAAAACGGGGGCTCGCAGCTTAGGAGAACGGACACAGGAGCCCAAGGGTCGATAGACCGCTCTCTATAGTGGGGTTTAGGGTTTAGGGTTTAGGGTTTAGGGTTTAGGGTTTAGGGTTTAGGGCTCAGGGTAGTTTCATGGGTCCTTGATATGGTCCCTTACCCTCTCTAAAGGGTTCTGATGTTTGGGCCCTTGGGTTGTATAGGGTACACAAGAGGTATATAAGGGGTCCCCGTTTAAGGGCCCATATTTAGGGGCCATGTAGCTGCCCTAAGAGAGTTGGACCTGTGTGGCTTTGCTGGATCTGTTTAGGGTTTTAGAGGGTAGGGGTTTGTAGGGGGTTTATAGAGGGTTTAGAGATGTTTAGAGGCTATATAGAGAGTTCATAGAGGGCTTATCGATCGTCTAGAGGGTTTAGGGATTTGTTTAGAGGGTTTCGATGGTTTAGAGGGTTTAGGAATCTGATGATGAGACCAGACCAGGCCAGAGACCCTAAACCCTAAACCCTAAACCCTAAACCCTAAACCCTAAACCCTAAACCCTAAACCCTACACCCTCGATGCCTTGCCAGGCAAGGCGCGCCGTGCCTTCCTCCGCTGCTGTGTCCTGCTCCTGGCGGCCGCGGCCTCGGAAGGGGGAGACGGACTTGTAGATGTTCTGCGAGCGCAGGCAGTATACCCTAAACCCTATAAGCCCTAAACCCTAAACCCTAAACCCTAAACCCTAAACCCTTGCAGTGAACCAAGAGCATGGGATGCGCTTGGAGCAATCTTGGTAGGTGTTGGTTTCTGCGCCTTGGGTGCAGGAGCATCCTTAACCCTATGATCAACCCTAAACCCTAAACCCTAAACCCTAAACCCTAAACCCTATGAACCCTACAAACCCTTTAGCCTCTAAACCCTGAACCCTAAGGCCTAAACCCCAAATCCTAACCCCTAAATCCAAAACCCTAACTACGCCATGCCGGCAGCGTTGTAGTTTTCTGATTGTTTCCGGGA